AAAATCCCAATCAATATTCAGCAACTAAATTTCTCCAATCTACCCTCCCAACTCTTCCAAAAATCTCTCCTCAAATATTAACCTCATGGTTTTTTTAGTAATTATACATCCATAAGCGATTTTAATAAATGAAAATCAATATAATCACAATTCTTGAAATTACTTATAAAAAAAATCCAAATAGAATCATGATTAACCAGTGTTACTTATAGCCAGTGTCACTTACAAAATTCATGATTATCATCTAAAATCATAGTTGTTCACTGCTATCCAAATGGGCATTTAATAAATAAGGAATAATCTTGTTTGCTTTGCTTAAAACCTCCTTGTTGCAATGCCCCTAACAGTTTCAAATTCCACCATCTTGATGCTTGCTTTAAACTTATAATGACTTATTTTAATTTACAAATAATTCCCTCACCCTTGCCATCAAGGCCTTGGGGTAATTGCAGCAAGTTTTAGAACTCCACAAATAGTGAACATTTTGACTATCAAACAGAATGTTTTATGACAATCAATTCCTTGTCCCTTGTTATATCCCCCGGCCACTAACCTAGGTCTGATACCATGTAATTGGGCCAGATACGCAACCCATGAATGAAATAAAAGAGAAAGGAGAGATATATCTTTACAAAGTTTTTTTTTTTGTTTTTGGTACAACATATCTTTACTAAAGTAAATGAATTGTTTACGCCACCACATTCCTGATTGTGTGACCCATATTTATACATCATAGAAAGCCCAACTATCTCATCTAAGAAATTGAGCGCTATAATTTACTTCGAAAATTTTGAATGAACGCTAAACACTTAGAATTTTTTTTTTTCAGTTCAATATTATCCTAAAATTTTAAAATCATACAATTTTATCCTCCACTCAAAGTTTTTTTTTTTTAGCTCATTCTAGTTATCTAGATAAAAAACGGAGCCAAAAAAGTAATAAAATAGATAAATGAAAAAGTCCTAAAAATCCCTGGTCACAAAGACTTGTCATGAAACACGAGGGTATGGTGTTGAGATGAGAAGGTGAGGCCAAGATAGTCTTTTTAAGCATTCCCGAGTAAACAATGACATTCTTAAACCTTTTGATGGAATGAAAATTAATGAAATTTATTTCTAAAAAATGAACAAAGGTATGTTGCGTGTTGAATTGCACGAAACAAACTCCGTCCAATTTTTTGCTTCCCTTTCCTTCTCCATGCCACCCGTTTCGTCTGAAGCAAACACAATTTTATAATAATAGAAAACCAAATTAAAACTTCCAAATTCAGCTCTACGCACAGATCATACAAGTAATTTTTTTATAATTAAAAATAAAAAATGTAGACAGAAGCAACCAGTCTTCTATTAATAGAATAAGTGTGAGTCACTTGTCAAATGTCACATGGCATGTAATTTATAATTTATCTAATTTTTATATTATAAACATTAGACTTGACTATAAGTTTTGCGTAAACAAGGAATTAATTAATCAGTCAATGGCATTGGTCGTGTAAATTGAATTTAAACCTTTTCAGAGAAAAAATGAGATCCACACTAATTAAATCATATTCAAAGAATCAAAATGAAAGCTGCTAACTAAAAAATGAGTCGCTTTCGTCAAGACCATCACGAGAAATTTAAAATAAAAAAACATAAATGTTAGCTCCAAATCTATTTATAAAAACTTATAATTATAGAAAGAAGTTAATAAAGATTGGTAAAAGTAAATATTTGGTCTTCTAAGTTTATATAAAATTTTAGTTTATATAACACATTTTTACTATAAAAAAAATACATTAAATTGTTAATATTTTTTAATTCTAATTTTATTAAAGTTTTTTCTCATTCTATATTTTATAAATTATTCACATATCTTTCAATTCGCTCTCTATTTTTAATGAAAATTAAATAAAATAAAATAAAAAATAAGTATTAAATATATTATAAATAACTTTTATTTAAAACTAAAACGTTGGACGAATTACAATAAGGTGCTAAGTAAGGAAAATAATTAAAAAAATTTGAGAGATTGTCATCCTCGCTATAAGACTTGTCATTATAAGCTGTTGAGATTATTATTGAAACTTTTTGATAATTATTTTTTTTCTGTGGGATTTGATTGTAACTCCTCCTAAAACTTTTCTTCCCAGGTCACTTGCATTTTCTGGAATGGTACTATGTTGGCTGGGAGTGCTTTGCTTCAATTCTTGCTATTTCTTTGCCTCTTTTTTTTTTTAAATGTCTTGGGTTGTAAGTTTTGAGACCTTGATTTGATCCCAAAAATAAAAATAAGGATAAAAAAGAAGCAATGGGAAGTGAAAGTAGGGTGGCGACTGGGAAATAAGGGGGGCACAAGTGGACGGTGCCACTAATCCAATACATTGTGTTGGGAAAAAGAACACGTGACTTTAAAACATCTTTTTTTTTAAAAAATATTTTTTTAATGAAAAAGTTTCATGCGCATCCACGAAGAGTGATGTGAATGGAAAAGGTGGAATATATGATAAAAGGAAGAATTATTGGTCATTAGGATATTTGTCAATAATGACTCATTTTTGGACGGTTTCTACTTTCTTTCTCTGATAAAATATACCTTATACCATAACATTATTTCCATAAATGATGTTTTCTTACAAATATAGTTTTGTATTAATGACACTAATTAATTAAGGATCTAATACTGGCAAGATAATTAAAGATTCAAGATCATATTGAATTAATTAATATCTAAGTTTAAATGTTGAAAGCAAATATAATTGATTTCAAATATTTTGAATTTCCTTTTTGCTTCGTACTCATATTAAATTATATTCAGTCATTTTTTTAACAGACATACTTTTTTTTGTACGTAGTAGTTAGTACCATACGTTAATTTAGGTGTTGCTGAAGCAAGTATCACATGGACAATTTTTTGTTTCAATTCCATCTCTCAGGCGCGCAATTTATATAATCATAAAAGCAAATCAAATTCAATATTTATGTATTGATAAAGTAATATTTATAAACCCTTCAGTTTTTAATATAAGACATATTTAACTAATTTGATTATATTAAAAAAGTTAGTTAATTATAAAAATATGATATATTCTTCTTAAAATATCATAATCATCTTTCTTGATATCCTAATGTCCTATTTAATTATGGTTGATAGACATCAATAAAGATAATTTAAAAAAATTGATAAATATAAAAAATAAATCTTATATTTAAAATTAAGATTAATTTAATAATTAGATTTTATATTGAGGACGGAGAGTATATAAAAACAGGAAGAAGTAGATACAAAAAAGAGAAGTAGAAATAGAAGAATGCGACATACTTCCTCCATTCCATTTTGTTTCGTCTTAATTTGAATTTTTCTTTTGACTCTAAATATACATTCTACTCCAAAACTTTCAAGATATAATTATTACTCACTTTTAATAGCATGCTGTTAAATAGAGAATAAAATTTAAAAAATAATTCTCCCATACTTATTAGAAATGGTATATTTATATAAAAAATTCAACAACTTTACTTTTTCAAAAAACCACTATATTTTATAAATGAAATTAAAAGAGTATAAACTCATAACTTTTTCTTTTTTTTAACATAATTTTGTTTTATGGCCAAAAAAGAGTATTTTTTATTGGAAGAATCTTATAAATAAGTTTAAAATTACTAAATTCTAAACAAAAAATTTTAACAAAAATTTATTGTTATTTACAAATCTAGTGCTGTTAAAACCAAATAAAGTGTTGTTATTGGAACTAATTTAAGATTTATTAATTTCAAAAAAAATTAATGGAATTTTCCCTTTGTTATTTGCATTTTTTTTAATTGAGAATTACTAGTAAAAAGAAAGTGATGATGAAGTATAACTGATCTCATAAATATTTTGGAAAATGATAGAAATTCTTGAAACATATGAAAGAGATTCAATGGTCGGAGCGGACCGTCCGCTCCTGGTCATCATTGACCGGTTGATTACCAAACGTGGATCATTCCCACTTTTGATTCACATTTCTCAGCCTGCTTTCCCCCCCTCCGCCTCATTCTTCCTTTCACCGGCCACCTGTTCTCCCCGTTCCCTTCCTTTCCTCTCGTGGGCTGACCTTTTTCACTGTATAAATAAATCCCCATTTCCACCCTCTCTTTCCATCTCCACTGTGACTGATCTTTGATTCCCTCAACTTTCTCGCCTCCCGAACAACCAATCCCTTCTCTTTCTCTCACTTTCTCAATGGCTTCTCTCTCAACCTCTGCTTTCACCACTACCATCTCATCTTCTTCTGCTTCATCCTCCTCTCTCCGGCCATCTCTTCCCGTCTTGTCCTCCACTCCCAAATCGTTCTCATCCCTCGCTTCTTCCAACTCTTCTTTCTCTTCAACCCTCAAGCTTTCTTCCGCTTCTCCTCTCTCCCTCTCCTCCGTCCCTAGGAAATCCTTCTCTTGCAGAAGCCAGGCTGCCTCTGTTGACTCTGGTAAGTTCACTCTCTTGATTAATTATTGAACAGTTTTCCGTGCGCGATCTCTTCATTCTGCGTTGATCCTCTTTGTTGATCTCTGTCTTTTTTTTTGTAGAGAAAGTTCAAGAAATGCACATCTACGAGATCAACGAGCGAGACCGTGGAAGTCCTGCGATTCTCCGATTAAGTCAGAAACCTGTGAATTCCCTTGGTGATCTAGTCCCCTTCAGCAACAAGGTATGCTTTCTTACTGTTTCCTACTTTCCTTTTCCGGTCTAATCATGGAGTTTTCTTTTCTTCTGTTTTTTTGACCTGAACTCTCGTCTTCTGTTGGTTTCTACATAATCTATTATTATTATTATTATTATTGATCAAGAAGGAGGGTCCTCTTTTTCTTTCCCTTTACCCCTCTAATACAGTTCTGAACATTTCTGGACAACCTTTCTCTTGCTTCCAGGATCATTTGTCATATTTTGTATTTTTATTTGAGCAAGTAATTGCAGGTTTATGAATAATAAAATTAAGTAGATCTCTTTCTTAAGTCTGAAATGATCATTTTTTTTTATTTTTTAAATTTATAAAAGAGTTTAGTGATTAAAAAGTAAAACTACATTCTCCAAAATTGAGTTCGAACTCACTTTTAAGATCTGGTCAAAAGAAAAAAGAAAAAAAAACAAGAAGAAGAACTCACTTTTAAGAACTTTCTGGTCCTTCTCCGCCGTTTCGAGCTCGTGTCTCTGGTAGAGACTCACCATCAAGCCAAGAATCCGAATGGCTCACTTTTAAGAACTTTTAACAAAAGGAGTCTGTGATGCTGAGGGGTTGTAAATGGTATCACATTTCTTATATTCAATACATTGCAACTTAGAACCCATGTCTAGCTTTTTGAACTGATTTGTCTCAATAAAAAGTAAAAATTATATATCTAATTGACTAAAAATTGTAACTAATAAGTTATTCGCTACGAATTCAACAGCCCAACGAATTAAGAAGGAAAGATAGTTGTTATTTTCCCCACATCTGCTTGTTTCCCGATAATTAATTTCTGGGGTATGGTGGAACCTGCAGTTGTACACAGGGTGTATGCAGAAGCGCGTGGGCATCACAGCAGGGATCTGCATTCTGATCGAGCACAAGCCTGAGAAGAAAGGCGATAGATACGAGGCTATCTACAGCTTCCACTTCGGAGACTATGGCCACATTGCCGTTCAAGGACCGTACCTGACCTATGAGGACACATACCTCGCCGTCACCGGCGGCTCCGGCCTCTTCGAGGGGGTCACCGGCCAGGTCAAGCTTCACCAGATTGTGTTCCCGTTCAAAATTTTCTACACTTTCTACCTCAGGGGCATTAAGGACCTTCCGCAGGAATTTCTTGGCAAGCCCGTTGAGCCCAGCCCAGCTGTAGAGCCCAGCCCGGATGCCAAGGCCTTGCAGCCCCATGCTACTATTGCCGGCTACACAAATTGAAGTTTTGTTTTGGTTAATTAGGTTGGTTGTTAGAGAGTTGGTTTATTTTATGTCAGTGGTGGGTCCTTGAGGAATAAGGTTGAAGCATGTGTAGGATTTGGTTTTTCACTATAATGGACTATAGAGAACTTAGTGAATTTCTTAATGTAACTGCGAGTTTGGCTTTATATTTAAATATGGTTCCCCCAAGCTGTAAAGGCCAGTGGGATCGCACAAATATTCTTCTTAAATATTATATATATATATATAATCTATTTTTAAACGTGGGGAAAAGATATATTTTAATGCACAAAATTTTAGTTTATATGAGAGTATTATGTTTCTATAATTCTACTATTATTCTATTATTATTATAATAATTAAAAAAGCTAAACATGATATGACTAAGGTACTAATTATTGTGTTGTAAAATATGGTATTTTAGAGTTACAAGGAATCAACAAATTTAAATTATAGTATGAAGATCGATTATGATGCTCTTTTGTCTTCTGTTTTTTTCAACTTTTTTATCCCACATTCTTTTGTCTGTTCAGAGATTTGATTGATGTTGGACTAAACAAACCCAAAGAAAAGAAACGATGGCAACTGGTCACAAATGGACATCAAAATTGATTATCATCCACCACATTCCACCTCCAACCTCCCTACAAGCTATATATAATTCAAAAATGAAACTACATATTAAACTATATAATGGGTTGTTATGATACTCTTCCTGTCCTTAATATATGACCTAATTATTAAGTTAGTTTTGGTCTTAAATATAAGACCCATTTCTCATATTTATTAATTTTTTAAAATTATCTTTATAGATATTCCCTCAACCATAATCAAATAGAAGAGGAAGAGAGGGTATTAAAAAAGAAGATTATGGTATTTTAGGAAAAATATGTCACATTTCTTATAGTTAACTAACTTACCTAATTTCTTTAATCTAATCAAATTAGTTAAATGTGTCTTATATTAAGGATCACAGGAGTATTGGTAATTTGATATCTAATTTTTTAAAAAAATAATTATAACTTTATTATGAACTATATGTGATTAATTCTTATTTAGCAAGCTCTCATAACTACTTTTGCATTTTACAAGACAGTTTTTTTTTCCCCATACATTTATCTCCAACCACACAAAATCACTTTCACTTGGAAGATTATCAATCCATAGGGTTGGAGATGGAAGATTCTAATAGAAGATATATATATATATATATATATATTTTAACTAGACACATGTATTCTTTTATTAGATACTAAATATAGGCACTTCTTGAAAATTCGAACTTTGAATCACCATATTATAAAAAATTAGTTCATTCTACTAGATCTAACCAGATTCGTAACAAAAGCATTATTAATTGTCATGAAAATGAACTAACCCAAGAATGTTCAATGTGATGGGCCCAATTTATGCTAACATAACAAAACTGTCGAGAGTATCATCCAACAACCAATACTAATAACCTAGATCCTAAATACCGAGTGCCGCCAAAATATTGGCATCACCGACCCTTAAAAAAGTTGATTGACTAATTCAACACAAAATACAACCCTAATCATGAAGAGATATATGTAGTACAAGAGTGGAGTACGGTAGTACAAAGGAAAGGGGAGGGAGAAAGGAGCCAAAATGAATGATAGTACAAAATTGCTGAGTCTATGATGGTTCCAATGTACTGCGTTCTCAAACAGCTGTGTAATAAATGCAGCAAATGCATTACAATGTGCATATTATTCATTTGCAGAATCCATCTCTCTCAATTCTTCAATCCGCATGGTTCAGTGTTGCAGCTTGTGATGAGAATCAATGCCTCTGCTTCCGATCAAGGACCCTCTGAATTTCAAGTATGAAAGTGAAATGGGTGAGGTTCTCTTCTTTCATACAGCTATGAGATTGCACTGTTAAGATAATGATCTGTGCTTATACCAATCTATCGTTGATCCTAGTAAATTGATATTTGATTGCTTAAGCATAGGGTTTTGTGTTAAAGTCCATGTGAATGTAGAAAATATTTTTGAGAAAGTTATCCTGATTGAGTCTAAAAATGCTTAAATCTGACTCAATTAGATAATCACTTAATTCTATTAGATCATGGTTTGATGGTTAATATTCCGAAATTGAGAGGCCTTTCGTTGCAAAATGGTGAGTGTGTGGGTCCCACTTGCTAAATGGCAAAGCCAGAATGGCCATTGATTCTCATCACAACATGCTCCACTAAGCTTGGCAACTCCATAATGGGATGATGAGGACTCTTTTGGCATTTTTGCATTCACATCCACAAGTGACTACTGCTCCCAACGGTAAGTCATAAACTTTAATCCCTAATACTTTGAATTGTATAAACTATATTTTTATGGGCAACTTTGACTAATCAGTAGATATTGATCATGTAAAATATAACACCGAATAAGATAAAAATTAATTCTTTGAAAAAAAAAATTATCATTACCTTAAAAATATAATACATTCATTTAAAATTGTTATACTCTCTTTGATCTTCTTTATAAGCTTCAATTTTTTTGAATGGGTTTTGCGTATATGCATATGTCAAACTAATTAGAAGTGTTATAACGACATTATCAAATAAAAAAAATTCTAATAAGTAGTTGAGTACATATATCAAATGCATGCAAACAATTAAAAAAATTGAGAAAATTAAACATGAGTTGTAAATCAAGGGTTTAAAATTAAATGCTTTTTTGTGACCAGCGTTTAAAATCAAATGCTTGCAAACAATATGCTATAGATGCATAAATAAACAAGTCATAATGAGAATTAAATTATGGACGCATAAATATACTACACGATATGTTTAATTAATTAAAATCATTCCTTCAACGTATCTAATATTTTTTTTGCCAGCCTTCAACGTATCTAATATGCTTGTTGCCTAAATTAATATTTGTAATGAAAAATTAAAAGCTGCCCCGAAATAATTTTTTTGGGGTATATTTCTGGCGGGGAAAAAAGGTTACATAGGCAGTTTACCAGTGAAAGTCCTTCAATTCCGGGCCCAATACCAAAATCAGCCCCCAGCTCACTCTCAAGCCTGCCATTAGCAGTTTTTACTTGTATTATTGGGCTAAATTGGTAGTGGAAATGTTACGACGATCGGCCCAAAGTCCATAAGTTGGACCAAGATTCTACAGTACTGCCTAAATGGATCATCAAGTTTGATGGGGCGTTTGGGAGCTCTTGAAAATACTCTAAAAAAAATATTTTCACACAAATCAAAATAAAACTCATCTCACATATTTATCTTGAACTTTGTAAAATAACTTTTAAAGTTATGGTTGATTTTTATCCAAAGACTCCTTAAATCAAACACATAAATGGTACAAGTCCACGCTATTTTTTCTCAGCTTTTTTTGTATTTTTCCCAATTCTTGAGTGATGTCAGCTGCAGGGTTTTCATATGGGTGCTTAATAATAGGTTGATTTAGTAGTAGTTTTGGTTTTCAAAAACATTGTTTCAAATTTCAAGCATAAAAAACTATAGGCAGACCAAGACAGGATCAAATTCAAGAGACAAAATCATTGGTCTCAAATTTTCAGAACCAAAACCGAAACGGAACCACCTTTGAGAATTAGAAATAATATTAATGTGTGAATAATTAATATCTTGAATGTTTATTATTTGTGTTGCGTTGGCCATAAACTATACTCCGTTCTCATATTGTCATTATACACGGGTCATTTATTAAAACTTCTACCAATCATAAGTTTTTTTTGAATAGTTAACAATTTTAGAGTTGTCGATCTTTTTGACAAAGGGAAATGTTGTATCTTTACTATTTTCAATTCATGAAAGAAGCATATTTGTAATTAATAAATGTCAACCAGAAGAAGAGAAATAAGCAAGCTAAGTATAATAAAAATAACATCAAATTATCCCAAAGTATCATCATATGACAAACATAATGTGCAGCAAAAACACAACGCGGAGTGGTCAAAAAAGCAAAAACACAACTCAGCGTCTGGCAACTTTATGATACAAATAACACACACCATAATAAGTTTAAGACTTGATGAAAATCTAAACTGGTGGCCTCACGATTCCTCTGACGTTGCCTCTTACAATCCTCCTCCATTGTTCATACAAATATAAACCTATATTTCCACTGATTTCTGCTATTTTCTTGAAATTAAAGTATATGAATAGCACCATTAACCAGATAATATAGAGTGAGAAACCAACATTGATATTAGAGAAGTATAAGCCAAAGTTCCTGAGATAAAAGCCACCTTGAAAGAGCAGTTCAAGGAAGTAGCCGTTCGGGAGTAAACGCTTCGTTTGATATTGTATCCGAATGAAATGCAGCAAAGAAGTAAGCATATAATGAAAAGCCACATGCTTATAGGATACTCATCAAGAGGAGAAGACGAATTGCCAATGTGCATTTGGACAACCTCTCTTGTTTCTTGGATGACAAAAGCAAACATAGCTTGCCAAGGGATTGATGATGATCTGTACCATCCAACATCAAACTATGAAATGATATATTGTTTTCTTCATGTAAAGGATAAATATAATAATTTTAATGTCTTATGTACAATTTTATGACATGTACACATTATATGCCTATGGCCTAAATTAATAATTTTTTCATTCTAGTATTTGACAAAAGGCCAACTGTGATTGTAGACAATTAAAAGTTCCCAACATAATTTATTGCATATTTTGGGGAAAAAATTGAATGGTTATTTAGAAAGTTCCAACGGGATCCATCAGCAAAAGTACCCCCTTGCTCCCCAAAATACTCTCGGTCCATCCAACGTAGCCCATGGTCCCTAAGCCCAACACTAACATCCTTCGGCCCAATATTGATTCCTCATTAATGCGAGGCCCATTTATTACATCCGCAGGATTTGGGCCCACCACCAAATCATCGGGCCGGTCCGTTCGCCTCTGAAACTTTGCCACCACCGCCATGACCACCATATCACTCTATGCCCTAGATCCATCAAAGCCAGCCCGTACTTCCCAAGCCTCACACTAACATCTTTCATCACTGCCCCATATCTCCTCCCATCCGCATGTGCACCCCGGCCTCGACTGCATGCGGAAACAAATCATTGATCGTCAAACAGAGACCTCGATCGTCATTTTCCGATGACCTTCCAGGCACCATTAATGAGGAAACCAGAGGAGAAACAAAGCCTAAACCACCTTGGGCAGGACGGTAGCGCTAATCCCAGGATATCTATTTCTGTTCTCCGAATACAGCCG